TATATTGCTAGACATTCTCTTCTTTTAATACGTTTAGAAATATATTATTAAGATGCTACTTAAAACAGAAACATATAGTTGTCTCCAAAATAAGTATTTAAATATTCACTGGAAATAAATAATACACATTTAAATTTATACCTATAGATATATTAATAAATCAAAAAACGACTTCAGTGACAAAAATACCCAAATGATAAAATATTTGAAATAATATAATATGCAAGAAATAATTTAACACCGATATGTAATTTTATGTTGATTATAAGATTTTTAAAGATTAACCAAATATATACAGTAATTATCTTTTAGCAGTCATAGTTACTAGATGGACAATTTAATGTCATAATAGAAAATAGAAGATAAGTAGAAAATTAAGGAAATGTAACTCATGAGATTGATTAGAAAACCAATAAACAAAAATGACATGTATAATAAATTACAAACATTTATTTTTCAAATATTTTTAGAGAGAATTTAATAAAATTATAATCCTAATATTTTGCCTAAAAGACAATTTTGGATAATCAGGAATGTCTAAAAAAATTCCATATATGTAAATAATTATCAAATAAATACATTTAATTATATTCTTTTTCAGTCAGTATAAAAAATTATAAATCAAAAGCAGACATGCTATGATTAAGGAATGCTTTGAGCTGTAAATAACTTACTGGAATGTAGGCCTAATGCAACGGATTTTTTTTTTTTTTTTTATATAATTTTGATTCTTATTTAAAAAAAAAAAATACAGGAAAATTTAAATAAAAAATACAGATTTTTAGGAAAATAAATATTAAAGTATTTAGAAGCACTTTCTGTGCACAATAGATGGGCCTGATTCATCATACTCTTGTTTGGAAATCCACATCTGTTGGAAGGTAGATAGAGAAGCCAAGATGGAACCACCAATCCATACTGAGTATTTCCTTTCTGGAGGAGCAATGATCTTTATTTTCATTGTAGATGGAGCCAAAGCAGTAATTTCTTTTTGCATTCGGTCAGCAATGCCTGGGTACATAGTAGTACCACCAGATAATACAGTGTTGGCATACAAGTCTTTACGGATATCTACATCGCACTTCATGATAGAGTTGTATGTGGTCTCATGAATACCACAAGCTTCCATTCCTAAGAAAGAAGGTTGGAAAAGAGCTTCCGGACAACGGAATCTAATAAAACAAATATTAATATTAAATATATAAAACAAAAAATGTAAATTGTACATATAAATAAATAAAAATACTTTACCTTTCATTTCCAATTGTGATGACTTGTCCATCAGGCAATTCATAAGATTTTTCCAATGAGCTGGAGGAAGCAGCAGTAGCCATTTCTTGTTCAAAGTCCAAAGCTACATAGCATAACTTTTCCTTTATGTCGCGAACTATTTCTCTTTCAGCAGTTGTCGTAAAACTGTAGCCACGTTCAGTCAAGATTTTCATAAGGTAATCTGTGAGATCACGACCAGCAAGATCCAGACGGAGGATAGCATGAGGTAAAGCATATCCTTCATAGATTGGGACGGTGTGAGATACACCATCACCAGAATCCAAGACGATACCAGTGGTACGACCAGATGCATACAATGAAAGTACAGCTTGGATAGCAACATACATGGCAGGTGTGTTGAATGTTTCAAACATAATCTGAAAGTTAAAGTAAGAGATTAAAAATCTATGTGTAATTTAAGAGTTAAACTTTAAACCTGGGTCATCTTTTCTCTGTTAGCTTTTGGATTCAATGGAGCTTCAGTAAGCAAAACTGGGTGTTCTTCTGGAGCCACACGTAATTCATTGTAGAAGGTATGATGCCAGATTTTCTCCATATCATCCCAGTTTGTGACAATACCGTGTTCAATAGGGTATTTCAAGGTAAGGATACCTCTCTTGGATTGGGCTTCATCTCCCACATAGCTGTCTTTTTGTCCCATACCAACCATAACTCCCTGATGAATAATAATATTAGTTATTTAACTTATAATAAAATAATATTCATAATATTTACCTGATGACGGGGACGTCCAACGATAGATGGGAATACAGCACGAGGTGCGTCATCACCAGCAAAACCAGCTTTGCACATACCAGATCCATTGTCTACTACCAAAGCAGCTACTTCTTCGTCACACATTTTGAATATTTAAATATATCAAAGCTGTAAAAATAATGAATTCTAATTTAATTTTAAATTTCTAAAAACACGCTTTGAAAATGTAGTTATTTAGGTACAACCCAATAAGAACTTTTAATCAGTAGTCAATTATAAATTAAGTTCACAATAAATAACAACTGAATTTAAGCCAAAAAGAACTAAAATAGTAATTAATATTTTAGACTAAAAATAATTTAATCACCAAATAGCGTCAGTTAAAAACAGCATTATCAAAATACATTAAAGTGTTTAAACTATTGAACCTAATTATGGTATGATTAAAGCTATAAAAAAACTATTAGAAATGTTAAAATCATTCTAAATTTAATCATTAAAAAGTTTAAGTTTTGATTTCGTAAATAATAAAATTATTCAGCGATAATATAAGTAATAAATTAAAAAACTTATACATTAGTTTCTCACATAAGATTATTAATTTATTGATACGGTAGAAATAAAAGTACTAGTAAATATAAGAACTTATATAAACTTGTACGAAAAAGGTAACAATAAAAATTACTTCGGTCATTAAAACAACCATGCAACTTTTAATCGATTAGAGAAATGGGAAATAAAAACAGTCAATATCAATGATGTAAAATGTTGAGGTACTACATAAAAGCACACGTTGTCGATTTTTGATAACTAATGATGTTGTAGGTAGTATGTGAAAAAGTAGGTTAAAAATAAAATTAAAAAAAAAAAAAACCCAAAGCACGCGATAGTTGATGGTTATCATAATTGATGATGATATCCAATTGGTAATAAATAAAAGGTGAAAACAAAATCGAAAATGTCACGTACCAGAAAAATTGTATGGAAATAAAACTTGATTGCGATTTCAAAATTTTAACAAATACACACACGTAGTCGTTGGTAATGCGAACTAACTGGTCGTGAGAGAGTATCAACACCGGTATAAGTAGCCTTCCTTCTACGGTTGATACTCCTTCCCATGAACCCCGCCCTTCACTGCGTCAGCAACGACACGTCATCATAACCACCACCCCTACTTCTCCCACCGAACAAACACCACACCCGTTCACGAAAGGGCTGTTGGACACCGGGTGTTAAACACGCATACACACACATAATATAAAGGCGTGAAAACCGTGAGAAATTTATGAGTAGCGAAAAAACTGACAAACCTTAACGTTCAAGAGTCTCACCCCACTAACTGCATTAGCATAATAACATCATAGTATATAGTAATTCGTATAATAAAACGATAATTTCTGGCTAGAGAAATACGAAAAATTATAGTAAAAATGTTTATGGTTTAATAAATAAGCGACACGTCAATCGGACGTTGAAAAACGCGATCAAATGTTTGTTACAACGGGTTGTTGAAACCACTTAAAGGGATTTATTAAAGTGCGTCGTTTGAACGGACGTAACATATTCACTGGTATTTAAAAAACAGGAGTTATAATTTCATCGAAAAATTAATCAATAAATGCTTTTTTAATTGGTAAAAATAGGGTGGATTCGGATAAAAAAATGCAAGTCATAATTACCTTTGAAAAATGATCGTTGATTTAGTGGAGCTTCTGGAGCAGATGAATTCGTGTATCGATGGCAGAACGGTTACGGTAGTTTTTGTGAAATGGCCGAGCCGTCTGGGCCCGGTGTGCATCCTGCTAGATGAATCCACCGTGGCCGGTTCGCGGGGTTGATACCGGTGTATATCGTTAGGCGGGAGACGCACAACTTCATTCTTCAGGCGATCATGGTTCCTTACACCATTGTTGCGCGTTGGACTTGCCCATTTTACCGCCACTTACCGCCGGTCGAGCGGCATTACCTTATATGGGCATAAAACGAACAGCACCATGCGATTGGTCGAGACCCGGCACAAGCCGGCGACCGCAGCCGAACGCATTCCAATTTCCAAAATCTAAACGGCAAACGGTATCAGCAGCCGCTGCCGCCGCCGTCGCCTGGTGGAGACGCGCACCACCCTCCGTCCTGTTACCGTTCCTGCTTCGCTTCGATAGCAGTGGCGGTGCATATGACGTGTCGTCTAGACGCGATAGTGGTGCGTGCAAGTTCGATTATTTCTAACTTTTTGTACTAGCTGCGCGCCGACTAATCACTAAAATGCTCTGCCGCCCATCTATTTTTTTATGAATTTAAATATATTTTTAACATATTCCCCTTAGATCCGTGTCACCATTATGTATTGAACTATCGCGTTTCAATTTATATATAAATATGTATATATATTTATATTTCGTCATATAAATTATGACTAATCTTCCTGCCGCTGCATCGAGAAATATCCGTTAAACTGGATTCAACATCTCCATACTCGCTCCGTTGACGTCATTTTTTTGTCGATTTTTCCAATTTCCTGCTTTCGGTGGTAACTCGAATATAATATAAAGTTGTTTTCGTACGAAATTTTGGTCGTCATTCTCTTGATTACATATCGTAAAATTATACGCGGGCAGAAAAGCCAACGCGTAATACCGTAATCCATACTTTATGTTGGGTAGGTATTATGAGCGACGGATACAAATTCTATACCGATGACAACAATAACACGAAAAAACATACTTTTATTAGTGTGTATCATCATTGATTATTATTCTTTGCTTTTTCACTCTCGTACCAAGTTTAAGTCGGTTGACCGACGAAATAAAACCAGTTTTGCACCTCAATAAGGATGAAACAAACGCACACGTCACGAATATATATTCGTACACTTGCATTGTAGCGTCAAGTTTACCTCTGCGTTATCCTATTTACTATAACTAGCAGGTACTTCGTCAAATAGCTTTTGACGTCATACAATTTTACAGTATAAAATCTGTTCTTGTTGGTGTTACGTTTCGTAAAATACACGTACATCGGCTAGTAATTATTAGCTATAGTGGCTTAATGAATTCTATAAATCTCAGGTATTCTATATGTGAGATTTAATTATTTATTTATCGATATTTTAATATTTTTACTGTCGTTGAGTGGTTACCACCAATCACCACAATTATATACATAAAACATAATGTTGTTGTATTGTTATAATGGGGCTGTCAATTTCATGCACTTAACGTTCGAAACATGGCTTGAAGCCAAGGAAATATGTTTCCTTTTCGGTGTACGCATTTTTATGTTGTGTATAGTAAGAAATGGAGCACATAATATTATTACAGTCGCTTAAAAAAATTCATGAAACTGTCTTACTCATTTTTAACCATTAAATAATTTATACACTTTGACATGTTCGTATAATGAAATCACATTCTTATTTATTAATAATATGCATTTATGAATATATATATAAAGTTTAGATGCACTGAAACAGAGTATACAATATTATATTGTTTTTAAACACTTTTTTTAATTAAAAATTATGTGTACGTACGCCGATGAGTTACTAAATTAATTGATCAAAAAATTAGACTTGATTTTTGATTTTTTGTACTAAAATAGTGCATTAGATTCAGGCCTGTATTTAGAAGGGGGGCACGGGTAGGCACATGGCCGGGGGCATCAAGTCTCAGGGGCGGCAAAATATTTTCGTAAAATTAATTTTAAAAATGATGTACCTAATGAAAAAAAAACAATAAAAAAAAAGAAAATAGGTAGTATGTTTTAATTTATAAATTTAAAAAAAAAATTGTATTTTTATTATATTATAATTTGTTTAATTTGTTAATTAAAAAAAGTATTAAACGATTTTCATTTATAAGTTATATTTGAATATTAAAGAATCTCGATTATGGGCGAAATAATAAGTGTTATATTATTATTATTTGTTTTCTGGGAAGGGGGGCATAAATTATATGCTTGGAGGCTCCAAATTTTTAAATACGGACCTGATTGGATTATAAAATGGTACCAATTTAATTGCGTAACTAGTACCTATTAATAATATTAGAATAAAGTTAGGTTGCTCAATTTATTCGTTTCCTTCATAGGCGATGATAATTATGAATACCAAGCAATTTTATTTTGCATACTATAAAAGTAATAACGCCCATATAGTTAAATTAACTTATCCGTGGTAATGTGGTACCTTACTAAAAAACATCCATACATTTAAATTGTATTTATTATAAAAATTTATGTTGTACAAATAATTTAATTCAATCAATTATTTAATGCATTTTAAATTTAATACGATGAAGACTAGTGTGTTTGCTTATGAGGACTATGACAGTGTTTTAATTCAATTAAAAGTTTTGAAGGTAATAATAAAAAATAATATCAACAAGTCGTACTTACAATAATAGAAAGTAAATAGTAATTTAATTAATTTAATACAATTTAATTTGTATTTATATGTTTTACTAAGATTTTAAAAAGTCAAGAGTGGTAGATATTGACTAAATTATGTTATAAGAAAATATTCTTATAGTTGGTTTCCATGGCTACCGTAATTTCTGTATACCTATTCACAGGGCCCCCACATACAATTTCAGGCTCTACACTAAATGGTTGTCCGGGCCCTTTATAAAACTTCCAAAAATACAATTTACTATTTATATATAATTTTAGAAATAATATTTGTTTTTTCATTATATCAATTCAAATTCAAGATTCATAAGCATTTCAACAATAATAATGTCTATTTTATTTTTTTATTACAATATTATTTAAATTAAAAAGAAAAAACAAGTATATTTTAATTTATATTTAATATATTTTTTTTAAGTTAAAATTTTATTTTGCGGTATTTTAGCGCATTGAATTCAGTAATGATATCGTCAAATTTGATTGTCGAAACCAATCCATTAATTTCTAGGTAATCATTGGTTAATCCACATTTTGAACTATCAAAATAACTAAATATATGTATAAAATATTATCTTATAATATTATTTAATATAAAATAAGTATTTCTACTAAAATTTCAAAAATTACAAATAAATTTCAACGGGCCCACGGGCCCTTAAAATAGCCGGGCCCCTGTACTCAAGGTCCATCAGCCCTCCCTTTGTGGGGGCCCTGCCTATTCATGTATTTCATTTGTCTTTAGAATGACTTTTGTCTTTGTAAAACATTTTAAACCCATCTTTTGCTTTATGTGTTAGCTGTTCTTCAATGTCTAATATTTATTAAAATACAATATATTTTTTACGCTCTTATACTGTTATATTAAACTGTTGTACAAATAAATATTGTAATCTATGGTATAAGTCAACATTTCTAGTGATATCATTAAACGAAAACCGTTTTTAAGCTACTAATTTGTACGTGAAATACCAAAATAACATCAACAAATATGGACAAAAAGAAATTGAAGTTTGACAAAAAGATATGTTGTGTAAAAATTTCAAATATTTGTGGAGTAGAATACCTGTATGTGTTGTTTATCGCATGGATACGATACTTATAAATGTTTAATATTATAAGCAAATTTAAACTTTATAATCGAAGCATCCGAGTTGGATCCCGAGTAGGTACTATGGGCTAATCGCAGGTAGTGTACTAGTTGGGTCCCGAATTTTTATAAATAGTACACTAGTTGAGTCCTGAATTATTTTAGGTATTACACTAATTCCTGAATATTTTTTGGTAAGTATGTACTACATTATACTAACATTTTCCTTCCCATTTTAACATACTTCGGACTGTCTAAGATCTATTTAGACCAAAGGTATGGTTAAAAAATTTTTATTTTTTGTTTTTTTAGTTTCTTTTCCATTAATATATAAATTATTAGAATTGTGTTGGTAAAAATATTAAAATGTTAAAAATCAAATATAAAAATACATATTATATAATAAAATTACAGCCATATAGGTAAATGAAAAAATATTAAAACTGTTAAAATATTATATAATATAAATAAAAATTAATGGAAAAGAAACTAAAAAACAAAAAAAAACTATTAAAAACATTTTTAACCATACCTGTGGTCTAAATAGAACATAGACAGTCCTAAGTCTGTTAAAATGGGAAGGTTAGAATAATATAGTATTTATCAAAAAATATTCAGGAACTAGTGTGTATCTAAAATAATTCGGGACCCAACTAGTATAGTAATTTTAAATTCAGGACCCAATTCGGATGCAGCCTTGATAATTGCTTGTTTCTGAAGTTGTTTTTTTATATTGAATTATATATTAATATATTTTTGTGAATTAATTTTTATGTATGATATTTACATATGTTTGTGATAAATTTTAATTTCGTAAAATGTTACAGCAAGATAATTATTTATGAAATTTAACATTTTAATTTCATTGTATATAATTGTACAGACATTACAATTTAATTAATAAATAATGTTTTTCCACTCGAACATCAGTCATAATTAGTATTTAGTAGTTAAAATTAATCAATATTGTAAATTTATCGATAAGTTTTTCTATATTTATAAGAAATGAATTAATATATATATAGAATAATTAGGACGTTACGAGTTGACCATCATGCTAGTTGACGGCATATGTTCGGACTTTGGTTTATTTTAATATAATATATTTATATGTCAATGAAGATTCTCATAATTCATTTTATTAGATACTTGAATAGAAATAGAGAATAAATACCTGGAATGTATTCAATTTTTTTGTCGAAGAGTTATGTTAATCATAGATTAACTCATTTAATAAGATGTAGCATGTAATGAGGATTTACTTATCACTTATGATGTTAAATCAGTGTTTTTAAA